GTATGTATGCTATTATAATAATAATAATAAAAATAATAATAATGATAATAATAATAATAATGAAAAATTATGATAACTACTACAACTACAACATCAACTACAGCTGCAGCTACTACTATTGCAGCTACTCCTACTACTACTACTACTACTACTACAACTACTACTACTACTATTACTACTACTACTACTACTACTACTACTAATGTAGCTGCTACTACAACAACTGCAGTTACTACTACTACAACAACTGCAGCTACTACTACTACTACTACTGCTACTACTACTAATAGTAATAATATCAGGAATAATAACTAATAAATTAATATTACTTTAAAATAAATATAATTATATTACAACATTAATAAAAACACGAAATAGTTCTACAACAATCAATAGAGTTGCTGTATAAGCGCAATGTATTCTGTTGCTTTTTTTGTTGTTGTTGGTTTCATCATCATCATCATCATCAACATCAACATCGTCATTATCATCATCATCGTCATAGTCGTCATCATCACCATCATCTTTAAAATCATCATCAACAACATTATTTGCTTAAAACGTACATACACGCACACACACATACATACACACATACATACACACATACATACACACATGCATACATACATACACAGATACTTAGATATACACACATACATTCACACACCTACAAACCAAAAAATTATTTTCATGATTTATCAAGAGACAGCACTATATAATTTGTTTATATTTCAACATTAAAAAAAAATGTTTTTTTTCCGTCAAAAAACTAATTTATTATGCGCATAATTTAGGCGAAATTTTGGCACGAGTATTTATAACACACATACACATACACACATACATACACACACATACATACAAATACATTACACATACGCACATACGTTGCATATACAATATATTTTTTGACTCTTAAAGCATTGTAACAGCAACAACATTCTCACCATCCTCACCATCATCATCGTCGTCGTCGTCATCAATCAGAATAAATATCAAGGGAGGAATAATAATAATAATAATAATAATAATAATAATAATAATAATAATAATAGTAATAATAAAAATAATGATGTGTATGATAATAATAGATTACTCTTGATAGATAATCATTTTTCATATTTTTTTTTCATTACTTCGTTATTAATCTTCTCTCAGTTAATGGGTGTTTCAAAATTATTGGGGTAGTTTTTTCTCATTTCTTCATTTCTTTATTTCCTCATTCAATCCATCTTTCTATCTTCTTTCGTTTCGTCGGTTCATCCGTTTATTTATTCAGGGATCACTTCACTTGTCTATTAATTATTCTTCTGTATAATTGATAATTCATTCATTCATTCACTCGTTCACTCACTCATTCGTTCACTTACTCACTCATTTGATCATTCAATCATTTATTCACTCATTCACTTGTTCACTCACTCATTCACTCATTCATTCAGGATATCATACAATTTGTTTATTCTATCATTCGCTTGAATGCAATCAATGATTCCGTCAATCAATAGTGGTTTCATTCATTCATTCATTCATTCATTCATTCATTCATTCATTCATTCATTCATTCATTCATTCATTCATTCATTCATTCATTCATTCATTCATTCATTCATTCATTCATTCATTCATTCATTCATTCATTCATTCATTCATTCATTCATTCATTCATTCATTCATTCATTCATTCATTCATTCATTCATTCATTCATTCATTCGTTCATTTATTCATTCATTCATTCGTTCGTTCGTTCGTTCGTTCGTTCGTTCGTTCGTTCATTGTTTTTTCATTCAATCATTAATTAACTCATTAATTTATTCCTTCTCGCGATGAGAAAGTAAAATCCCTTGGTCTAGTGCTGAAACCTCCTCGCGATAGGAAAGCATAGTCACTTGGTCTAAAGCTGAGACCTTCTCGCGACGATGATAACAAAACAACAAAAACAAAAACGTCATCATTACCACCACCTACAACATTATCATCTGCAATAACAACAACAACAACAACAACAATAATAATGATAATAATAATAATGCAGTATAATTAATTAAGCGCCAAATAAATGGCGTTCAAGATGACGTCATCATCCATCAACCAATCAGAATGCGTCTGGCGGAAGTTCTTGGCATTAATCAAATTAAAGCATTTGCTTCATCGTCATCATCATCATCATCGTCATCATCATCATCGTCATCATCGTCACCATCGTCACCATCATCATCATCATCGTCACCATCGTCATCATCATCATGGTCACTGGAACAAGCAAGCAAAGAGCTTTATATATGTGTGTGGGCGGTACTGATAACGATCGTTCAATTAATTTTAGAATTAATTCCACTTTTAATTGCAGTAGTGATGATGATGGCAATGATGAAGATGATGATACTCATGGCACACACAAACACTTACTTAACACGCACATACATACATACATATAAACACATATTTCTCTTTCTCTTACATACACACACATACATACATACATAAAAAAAAATGTTTGTTTTTCTTTTCTCTTTCTCTCTTTCTCTTTCTCACACACACATACACACATACATACATACATACAAAAACACATGTTTGTCTTTTTCTCCTTTTCTCTCTCTCTCTCTCTCTCTCACGCACATACATAAATACATACAAAAACACATGTTTGTCTTTCTCTCCTTCTCTATTCTTCTATCACACACACACGCACACACGCACACACGCACACGGTAGATGACACGAAGATGGAGCTAATTAGAAGAAGTTACCATAAATATCCACAGACATAAGTAAGTACACTTTTTATTGCACGTACGTGTTTATAACGTGTACGTGTATGTATGTTTGCATGTATGTTTGCATGTGTGTTTGCATGTATGTTTGCATGTGTGTTTGCATGTATGTTTGCATGTGTGTTTGCATGTATGTTTGCATGTGTGTGTCGAGTATATCTGGTGCGGGTGCACCTAAGCTAAGTGCAAGTGTACTTACGAAGATTATGATGTCGGGTTTATTAAAAGAATTAGGACAACTCTGATGATGATGATGTTGACAATGACAATGATGATGACGAACACACACACACACACATACACACACACACACACGCATACACACACAAAAACACACAGACAAATTCAAAACAATGTTGTGTATTTAGATTTAGATTTTAGCCAAACCTCACAAACCCATCTCCTTACACAATCAATTCACAACAGAAAACCCGATACTTTTAAATAACCTTCCCATACCTAATACAAAAGACAGACAGCTGGCATTTAAAAATACCGAATACATTATAAAAAATGCGCACGGCCTCTATCAAATAACTGGTTTTCTTACAATACCCACTGATACCTGATACGCTGTAAAAACGCGCATGCATTTTATCAAATAACTGTTACCCCATATTGTGCTGTCTTGCGCGTACCCACTGACTCTATTATTACTATTAGTCGTGCCATCTGACGGAAAAAATGAGTCAAAGATGGAGAGATGGGATAAGTGGATGGAGAGAAAGAAAGGAAAAAGGATAAGAAAGAACAAAGAAAGAAGTAGAAGAAGAGAGAGAGGTATAGAGAGAGAGAGACAGAAAGACAGACAAAGAGAGAAAGAGAAAAAAAACGAAAAATGAAAGAATGAAACGATCACGTGATGACTCATGATTGTGACGTCATCATGATGATTGCGGTTGATGATGACGAACTCGGCCGGGCTGTGCACTTTGAGGTATTCTGCAATTAGGGAAATGGAGAAATCGTGTACAAGAACATGTACATCGTGTACAAGTATACAATATACAGGTTTTTCCACACGTGTGTGTGTGTGTGGGCGTGTGTGTGTGTGTTTGTATGGATGTGTGTATGTGTATCGTCATCATTGTAAAACACGAAACGGCGTGATGCATGCTAGGATGGTTATATGGCCAATTTCTACAGTGCACAGAATATACCGAGAAGATAATGATAATGATGACGACGACGATGATGACAATGACGATGGTGATGATGGTGATGATGGTGGTGTAAATGAATGAACGAACAAACGAACGATTGAATGAATGAACGAACGAACGAATGAATGAATGAGTAAACAAATGAACGAATGAATGAAAAATAGAAAAAAATATGCAAAGCTAAAAAATACAAGATTTTAGAAAAAATAAATTAGGAGCAGACGAAACGAGTGAATGTGAAATGACAAAGATATGGAAAGAAAGAGAGAGAAAGAGAAAAGGAGAGAGAAAGAAAGAAAAAAGGAGAGAGAGAAAGAAAAAGAGAGAGAGAAAAAAAAGAATCTAAGAAAGAGAGGATAGTTATAAATATAGAAAGAAAAAAAAATGTATAACTGGTATTAAATAGAAGAAATGATACAAGCTTGTTTCAATAATTTTAAATTGAAAATGAAACAAATGATCTAGAAATAGGATTGCATGTTTGTTTGTATGTATGTTTGTTTGTTTGTATGTATGTGTGTATGTATGTATGTATGTATGTATGTATGTATGTATGTATGTATGTATGTATGTATGTATGTATGTATGTGTGTGTGTGTGAGTGTGTGTTTGTGTGTGTGTGTATACGTATTCACAATTCACAATTCGTGTATACGTATGTGTGTGTGTGAGTGTGTGTGATTGTGTGTGTGTGTGGATGTATGTTTGTGTATGTGTGTGTGTGCATGTGATGGATGTGTGTTTGTGATTTTGTGTGTGTATGTGTGTATATGTGTGTGATTGTGTGTGTGTGTGTGTGTGATTGTATGTGTGTGTGTGTGTGTGACCCGAAAAAAGATTAAAAAGTATTTGGGTTTTCACCAATATAAAATAAACATATATAATTTAAATAGACATTGACTTGGATCGGTATATGCGTGTATGTGTGTTTATTTGTGTCTGTGTGTGTAGGTGTGTGTGTGTGTGTGTGTGTGTGGTGTGGTGTGGTGTGTGTGTGAAAAATGAATAGTGACAAAAGTTTTTGAAGAATATATTAGAATAAATAAAAAAAATACCAACAATAATATTAATAGCATTTTTTCTAAAAATTATTTTTTGGTGGGTTTCAATTGAAGTAATGAAAATTTTTTTATGCGTGTCTGTGTCGCTTTATGTCGCCACGTGTCGCTTCATGTCGCCACGTGTCGCTTCATGTAGCCACTTGTCGCTTCATGTAACCGCAATATTTTTTTTATCTATTTTTTATTTTACTCTTTTTTGGGGTTTTGTTTCACGAAATTCGATTGACTCGTTTATCATAATCGTCCTCGTCATCTTTTTTATCAGTGTCATCATCACACCAGCCTCACATAATCATCTTCATTGTATTGCCATCATTGCTTTCGTGTCATTTTTGTTTTCATGTGAAAACACGGAAAAATATTTCCACAAAGACAAAATGTCAGCTTGCAAAACGTTAGAATTGTCTTATCTGTATTTAAATTTGCCAACAAATTTTTGAACTTTTACCCTTAAACAAAAAGAAATCATTCACTTGAAACATTTTTACAACAATGCCTACGTAGAAACACACACACACACACACACACACACACACACACACACACACACACACACACA